CTGATGGTTAGGGAGAAGGTTAAGGAGCCCAAGGTTGACAGTGAGCTTATATACGCTTACGCAAAGATTGATAGACTCAGTGAAATCGAAGAGTTCATTCTAATGCCCAATGTTGCTAATCTTCAACTTGTTGGCGATCGCCTATATGATGAAGCCTTATATGAAGCGGCAAAGATCATATATGCATTCATTTCCAACTGGGCTAAGCTTGCTGTTACTCTTGTGAAATTGAAACAGTTCCAAGGTGCTGTTGACGCAGCTCGCAAGGCTAACAGTGCAAAGACATGGAAGGAAGTTTGTTTTGCCTGTGTAGATGCTGAGGAATTCCGACTGGCTCAGATATGTGGTCTTAATGTCATCATACAGGTAATTTAGTTGTGCTTGGTTCAATGATCTTTTCATTGCCAGATTTTTCTCTGTGACCTTTACATTTACTATCATCTAAATTGTGAATCTCTTCTATAGGTGGATGATCTGGAAGAGGTCAGTGAATACTATCAAAACAGGGGATGCTTTAACGAGCTCATTTCCCTTATGGAAAGTGGTTTGGGACTGGAACGTGCACACATGGGTATTTTCACCGAGTTGGGAGTTCTCTATGCGAGATACCGCCCAGAAAAGCTCATGGAGCATATCAAATTGTTCTCTACCCGTCTCAACATACCCAAGCTGATTAGGGCGTGTGATGAGCAACAGCATTGGAAGGAGCTTACTTATTTGTACATTCAATATGATGAGTATGACAATGCTGCCACTACTGTGATGAATCATTCTCCAGAAGCATGGGATCACATGCAGTTTAAAGACATTATTGTTAAAGTTGCAAATGTGGAGCATTACTACAAGGCAGTACACTTCTACTTGCAAGAGCATCCCGATTTGATTAATGATGTACTTAATGTTCTTGCACTACGTGTGGATCATACACGTGTTGTGGACATCATGAGAAAGGTGCCTCTTGCTCTTGTCCTGTATTTTGATCAAAATTCCCATTTGTGTTATATTAATCTAATATCATTTACTACCATATATATCAGGCTGGTCAACTTCCTCTTGTGAAACCATACATGGTAGCTGTCCAAAGCAACAATGTATCTGCTGTGAATGAAGCGCTGAATGAAATCTATCTTGAGGAAGAAGACTATGACAGGCTTCGTGAGTCCATTGACTTGCACGATAACTTTGATCAGATTGGTCTTGCCCAGAAGGTGGAATGATTGGCTTTTCCTTTGGTTCTTATAATATCTTTATGTTGTAGATAATGCTTTAACAACCGGTCTGGTCAATGTAAACAGGTGGAGAAACACGAGTTGCTAGAAATGAGGCGTATTGCAGCTTATATATACAAGAAGGCCGGCAGATGGAAGCAATCCATCGCATTGTCAAAGAAAGACAATCTTTACAAGGATGCGATGGAAACTGCTTCTCAGTCAGGGGATCGTGAGCTTGCTGAGGAGTTGCTTGTGTACTTTATTGAGCAGGTATTGATCTTTTGCTGCTTTTTCAATGATGAGCTTTCCTGGGAAGAAATCTAAATCGACTTTTTGTTAAAGTGTAATTGCTCTTTTGACGTGTTTATGTTTCTTTTTTCTTTGTAGGGAAAGAAGGAATGTTTTGCATCATGTCTTTTTGTTTGTTACGATTTGATAAGAGCCGATGTTGCATTGGAGCTTGCTTGGCTAAACAATATGATCGACTTTGCCTTCCCATATCTCTTACAGGTCACTAAAGACTCCTGTTTTGTGTCTACTTTAGTGTTTTACATCGACTTTGATTTCACTCCTTGAGTCTTGTGTCTGTTCCTATTTCTCTTCCACAGTTTATTCGAGAGTACACGGGCAAAGTGGACGAGTTGATTAAAGCTAAACTTGAAGCTCAAAAAGAGGTTAAAGCAAAAGAAGAAGAAGAGAAAGACATGGTTGCACAGCAGGTAAGATTCTTGAAGTTGCCCTTGATGTTTTAATGTATTATCGGTGTTTTAATGTATTATCGGTTTGTCTGCTTCATTTTTTTTCTCTTTTGTTTGTTCCAATTCCTTATCATTTATGTTTCTCTTTGTCATCCCCTTGAAATCTTGTGCAGAACATGTATGCACAGTTACTCCCTCTTGCTCTACCAGCACCACCAATGCCAGGAATGGGAGGAGGTGCAATGGGTGGCGGATATGGGCCTCCACCTCCTATGGGCACCATGGGCATGCCTCCAATGCCTGCTTTTGGCATGCCGCCAATGGGTTCGTACTAAAAATGGTCAATTCATACAAGTAATATGTGACATTAGGTGCTAGAAATTTTTGTAAACTTGCTGTTAGAGTGTTGCGGCATTATCAAATTTTCTAGTAGCTGGGTTATCGAGGTGAAGTTTCAGGCGTCTTGCATTTGGATCTCTGCGGTTTGTGTATGCACCAAGTAGCTGTAGGAGTTGTGGATATGCCTTTAATTATTCTTTGTTAGCTGAGTCGAAATTTTCTCACTTTGGGTAGTCCGGGTTGGTCCTTAGGTTACCTCGTAGTAAGTTTATAGTGCTGGCTTGTTGAAATTTTCGAATCCTGTGGATTTTGAAGTGCAAGTGGCGGATTTGCCATTGTGTATAGGTTATAGGTTATGGCATTTAATGTCGAACAATTTGTTTTATAAATGTTGGACGTATTTGAAACTATTTGTAAGTTGAATACATGAGATAAGCAAATTTTCTGCACCTTGTATTTCCTTTTTTGAGTAATCAACTAATGGGCTCTAGTGCTCTACTAGCAGTCTAGCAATATATAAAGCAAGATCACAATCAAAACAAAAAGAAATCAGACTAATAAACAAACTTGAGCGGCATTTCTGTGTAAACACAAGTCATTTACTCTGAGCTTAAAATTAACTTTTTACGATTTGGGATGCACTCTCAATCATTAGTTAAGTTTTACATACCGAGTCCTGGAATTCATCGAAAATGGTCCAAAATTGTATGGAGTATGTTATAGACTTTAAATTTGAAGAATTCCAGACTTTTTTAGACTCGAAAAAGATTGTAGTCGAGGTTTTCTTCTCGTAGATCCTATGTTACATCAGGTGGTCACTTGGACAGTTGGAACCATATACTTTTTTTTTTTTTTTTTTTCTATTTAGCCGATTACGAACATGACTTATGTCATTGAATCGAGGCCATCACAACCCTTCATCTTACCTGTACTGACTGATAGTTGTATATGGATTCAAACAACATTTTATGGTTTGGGAGCATTCTCCGTTATTACTTGAATTTTTGACATCGGATCCAAAAATCTCCAAAAATGGTTCAAAATCATGTATTATAGCGGATAATGAACATTATAGGACTTGCTAAAGTTGGACAGTGAGATCCTTCCCATAGCAGTACTCCGGAAGATGGTTCATGTGGTGTCTGAAACCTTCAAATTCATAACTCAACTCATAACATTGCACTCTTCATAATCATGTCTTAAGTCACCTGCTAATGTCATCCCTTACCCTTGTATAAGATATGATTTTCAGATTAGTTTTAATAAAGTATTTTTAAGTAGTCATTCTTATTTAGCTTTTACTTATAAATAATTGTAGATGTAAATGATCAAAGTTATGAATTGTCAAATGTAGTTAAAAAGTCAAATTATTACAAATACTACTTGTGATTATCCTTCTCCATGACATCATTTGGTAATAAATCAAATCATGATTTCCTTCCTTTTTCGACATCAAAATTACCATATAAGTTATGACAGGATTTAATATATAATAATAATAATAATTAAGAGATTAATTAACCATCATTATTCACATTATTTTCACACCCATCACAAAACTAGGACAAATAATGGCTCAGTTTTCCCTCTCTCATTTGAGTCATTTCACCCTTCTATTAGCCTTCCTCTTAATCACCCTTCTGAATCACCTCAGCTTCATAAAACCAGCAGTAGCTTCGCCTTCCACCAACGAAACAGAACAAATTCAAACGATTTGTAGCAAAACATTGGAGCCATACGAGTGTTTTGACTGCTTAAGTGCAGACACAAGTAGAGATTCCAATGATTTTTCAGAGCTTATACATTCCCTTTTGTACTGCATGTATTCTGAAGCCAATTATGCTCATGTCAATGCTGACCTTTTATCTCAGAATGTATCAGATCCTAGCCTTAAAAATGCACTAACTCATTGTTCATCCCTATTGTTTGATGCTGCAAATCATGCGGTGGATGCTATGATATCCATGGAGAGTCACAAGAACCTGCAAGCGTGGAATTACTCGAAAACAGCGGGAAGATCAGTGTTTGAATGTGTAAAAGTGTTTCTTGTAGAGTCTAGTAACAACCTCACTATTCCATCTTTAGTGCTTGGCAATATGATCCATGCTAAACGCCTCTATGATTCTATGCATGTTTTGTTTCAGCTTATTCTTCGTTAGTTTATTTTTATATGAACCTGTTTAATTCTGAATAAAACTTAAGTACTCCGTTGTCAATGTTTGTATTGTTTGATATTTACATATCTTTGTTTTTTTTTTCAAGAAAGCCCTAGTATATCTTTGTGATAAACGAAAAAAGCAGATCTAGTGGCAAACTTATAATTAAGTCAACAAAAATACTCAATTATAAAGTCAATATGTGTATATGTAGGGCTTACTTTTTATTTTAAAATCGTAAACTTAATTACAAGTTTAACACTTAATTGGCATTTTTTGTTTATCATCATGACAATAAATCTGGATTCTCTCATGTTTTTCCATCGTTTTTATATGTATTGTTATTGATTATATATATCCGTTCACATATCAAAAACATTAATCTGCAACAGATTATTAAAATTAACAATAGTTTAACAGTAATAATAGCAAAACTAATTGGTGACATTGGACGTCCATTTTAGGATTATAGCCAATTTCCTATTGCTTCGATAGCACCCAACCCAATCTCCCCTGAGGTCAAGCCCCTAAGATGGCTGAACAACTTCACTCTCAGTAAAATTTTCAAAGGCTGATCTGATGCTAATTGCTTCAGGTAAGTTAAAAGAAAGAAGTATATACCATACAACATTATTCATTTGTCCACAAAAATTTACAGAATTTGCCAAAGTCTCCAACAAAAAGCCTCTGAAAACTTGAAACCGAGCTGTATGTTTACTAATGCAGTCTCAAATTCATACGAAGTATATAATAACTTCATGTAAACAATAGAAGATTCATACTTGCGTCCTAAACTATGGCAATCTTCAAATCTTGAATCCACCAAAATTAGTCCCTAATACTATTCAGCAAAAGATGGTCATGTTATACGGTTCCACCACTGCTCCCAAAAGCTCATCAGCTAGTATCAGACTTGTCTAGAGCTGCAAGAAATAATACGGGTCAGATAGCAATTATGTGAATACTTGAAACCAAAATTCTAATACTAATACTATAATGTCTATAAACAAAAAAAAATAAAAATAAAGTGAAGATTAATCTGAAATGATAGAAAACAGAGAATAAAACACATCATTGTGCAACCATAAGAAAAACAGAGAAAACAGAGAACTCGATCTCAAATTGGAGGAAATGAAAAACCTCTCTCTCTCTCTCTCTAACAGGGGACGAATCAGGATAAGACGACCTTACAACAGTGTAACAATAAGAAAAGATCTACCATTTATAGCTTAAAAAGCTGAAACAACCATTTTTCTGTTAGACATTAAGATCAATTTACATCATCTTCATTCTCCCAATATAGGCACTCATAATATATTAGGTGGTAGTGATTTGAGGAAGGATAGACTGAGTAAGCAAGACCACTTGAATTGAAAAGCAAAACTCTACATAGATACATTTGTAGCTTTATATCTGTGTGAACAGTTGAAAACAAAGCCTAACAAGCACATGATATGCTGATATAGGTATGAAAGTATTGAGTGCAGGAGTATGAGCAAGGCATGATAGGAAAAGAGAGAACTTACTGTTGTAGTTCAAGAGCTTCTCAATCAAGTCGACGTGGGTCATCAGCATTCTCCTGCAACAATAGCGAACTAATCCTAATGCATCAAGGGCATCCCTGTGAAAAAGCATAATGTATTCATGTCAGCAAAGAACAACATCCTTAGGGTCTTTAATGATGCAGCCATGCAGGTCTTCTTGAAAGAAAACAGAGCTCTCATACAAGCTACATAGCATATCACACCACATTTTTAAGCCTCGGTCTTTCCATGACAACACATACACATACAAGCAATAAGCCAACCCAAAAAATTTTGACAATTTTTTTTCCAAAGAATGAAATGAGTATATGCATAAACACCCATATAATCCCAACCCGATGATAATCACCACCCCCCCACTTCATTCTCTGACAGCTATGACCTCTTCATATCTATTGTTGCTGCTCAATATGGTAACATGAGAGCAAAAGAAATGAAAAAAGACATATCAAAGTTGAAATTATATTCAATCGAATCCAAGCACACACAGCCATGTGAAAATGGAGATATCAGATGATCAAATGCATGCAGAAGTTCTTCTATAATCTGAATCTTATACCAAACTAATTTGATTCCAAAACAAGAAAAATCTAACAGCACCACCCAAACCCAATTCGAACCCGAGAACCAAATAATTGAAAAACAGCAGGAATGGAAATTCCAACTGTCATTCGAATACTCCCACATTTTCCAAAAAGCAAGAAAACAAGAAAAAGAAACCAAATTTGCACTCTCTAATCTTAATAAAGAACAATTCAAAAACCAAATCACAAGAAACCCATTAAAATATGCACATAATTTCATCCAAAAAGTTGAAATTCAATCCCTAAACTAATGGTAAAGTGGGATTTTTAGCAATAAAATTAGGCATAATGCAGAAGAAGAATTAGTTAAAGATTACCCTTCAGTGTAATCAGCTTGAAGAAGGTCAAGGTAAGTGTCCCATTTATTTCCGATGACCTGAAAAACATTGAAACGACAAAATTAGTTGAAAAATTAATCAATTAATTGGTCACCAGATTAAACCCTAAACCCTTACCTTGCCGCAAGTGAAGCAACGAACTGGAATAATCATGTTTACAACGCCTTTGTTTCTGATTGCCCTCAATTTTGCGCACTTATCAAAGGTTGTGCGACAAACTTACAAGATATTTTTGTATATTCCACAAATATAATGAGACATAGAGTTTATCTAAAATCGACCGTACTTTTTTTGGCCCATTGGGCCGGACCATTGTCAATCTCCTTTATGGATATGTCGTTTTAAATCTCCAATCTATAATCGATTGTATATTTGTACTCCGCATTATACTCTCTCTGTCTGTTGGAGTGACTTATAATTTTTCCTCCATTTTCCTTTTTAATCCGTCTTTAAAGTATACATAATAATGGCAAACAATTAAGGATGGAGGAATAATTTGTGATAAATTTGTCAATGTGAATATACCGACGCCACCCAGGGTTGTGAGTCCGAGCAACCTAAAACCATTTGTTGCTGATGTACTTATTCAAACCTCCAATAATACTTCCTCTATTGCTAATAGTTGTTGTAGGCGACCTTTTGCAACAACAAATGCTTCTATAATTTTAGGCCCCCAAAACAAATAATGGGTCATGCTCCATACAACTATGCAACCTTATTTATGTGGTTACGGAGTACTCATTTTTAAATGAAATAACGATGGAATAATTCTCATTTGATTTGTTAGAATAATTCTATTAACAATTTAATTTTATATATTATTAAACATTTAACCCAAAAAAAATGGATTCGTTTGGCATCACTGTGGTTTTCTATTTTTTGGTCTTTTGTTTTTCAAAATCATATTATATATATCATACAATGAATTAAAGATTAGTCAAACTTATTTAAATCATGATAATTTTGAAAATTGACTATCTTGTTTCCTATTTTTAGTTTTTGGTTTTGAAAAAAATCAGAAAACTGAAAACAAAAAACAATGCCAAACAAGCCAGTAAATGGATTCAAGTTTTGCAAATTTGAAAGTGATACTCATTTCAATGTGATAACTCAAAACTTTCCTTTACAAAATGATGAAAACCCTTAGGAAAAATGTTGTAGGTAGGTTAGCTAAGTGCACAACCATCATATATTAGATGGAAGGTACAAACCTCAACTTCTTGCCAAGAGGAAGCCATTGATCCCTGAAGTTCGATCTTCAGCTAAGTTTCCTACCTTCTAATACAATTTTGATTTAGACAATGACATCCTCTGAAGCTCCAAACAACTATTTACAACAAAAAACTATGCATTAAGAACATCAAATCTCCTGAAGAACTGAAGCGCCTAACAGTTGACATCGGCAATGTTAGCCAATGCGGGAAGATCTTCTCAATTTAGTTGTCCGAGAGGAACCAGATCCTACATTATCTGATTCCTGTGTCTGAGACTGGGAGTTCTTTCTCCTCTTTCTCTGAGAAGGTCCATTTGAAGGTTGGGTTTCTGTTGGCTCGCTTGGTTCATCCTCATTGTCTACCATTTCTGCTTTGGTAACTGTATATGGCCAAGGATTATGACAGCCAGGACAAACCTTTTCAGCCTGAAAATGATAAATACGAGTTGCTTATTTAACAAGAATAGACTGATTGCCAAAAAAAAAAGAGAGGAAAAAAAAAAACATCCTGAAAACTGATGTGTTACCGTTCTTTGAGAAAACTTCTTAAGGAGGCAGTACTTATGGATTCGGATGGGACAGCCTTCAGTTGGGCACAAATCCGCCTATTAGAAAAAATAATTGCACCTACATATATTAGATTAGAGAAGTAGCAAAGACAAAAAGAATGGCAGCCATTAAAACGATGCAAAGCACTTCAGTTCTGACATAAGCAATTGACGACTAAGATCAGATGTGATCTACATAACCAAAATTGAAGAATGCTAAAATCCCATTTGCATTTACATGGGAACTACATGATTTACCTTAATTTAGAGAAACCGTAACTAGTAGCAGAGGTTTAATACAGCTAATGCATTAAAACAGCACACATCATCTCATGAACATATATAATCACTTTATAGAAAGAGTTGTTTATTAACTTATTTTGAACGAGTTTAAAAGTTAGAAAACTCACTTCCCTGTAAAACAAAATAAAGACGTAAAAAATAACATAAATAAAAACTCAACGTAGAGAAATAACCCACCTTCACCCCAGCCTCATTGCAAACCTCACATGAAGGAATCTCATTTAAGCGGAACCAACTTCGGAGATCAAGGAATGATCTAATACCAAGTCCAATATTACCATCTACATTGGAGAGCCATCCATCATGAACAAGCTCTTCAAGAGCCTTTTCTTTTTGGGACATTGAAAAATTCCTCAGAGCAGGAGGCACATCCTGGAGTTGTGATTCTGACTGTGGTTGTGAGCCACCAGGGATCTGTCACTTAGCCACAACAATTGTCAGCCACCAGAATTAAGTTGCCTAAGAGTGGGACTAGAATAAGAAAGATGCCATGATAAAATCTATCCAGTTGACTAAGAAAGAGGAGAGCTACAGAGTAAAGATAGAAGCAAGAACATATGACTGGAAATATATGGAACACTAGCAAAAGGTTATTAATTTAACAAGTATGGAAGTATAGCAAATTGACCCCCATCCCTCTCCCCATAGCAAATTAAATCTAGTTAATTAGGACTACTCTTATTTTTAAGGCCAATGATCACAGGTATATAGCAGATTGTGCAGTTGACACAAACATCTGCGTTTAGCAATCCTTGATTCCAGAACTCACCCTCCATTCACCCGTCCCCATCTCTTTCCTGATATTATCCCCCTAGACCCTGAGACCCCACTCAGATCTAACGAGGGAGAAGGGGGGAGGGGGGGGGGGGTAAAGGGACCATCATAAATGAAAGGAAGAACATATTGAATACACGTGTTATGATTATATCATTAAATAACAAGAAGTTCCTACAATAATCGCCTGATTAGTTTTCCAAAATTTGAAAACTGTTATCCACACAGAGAAGTTTAAAAACCTGACTGTCCAATCTTATATGGAGGGCATCGATATTAGTGATGCAACCTTGGCCTGCAGCATCTTGTGCAATTGCTTCTATCTGCCATTTGAAAATGAAAGCAGATCTCAGCAATTCAACATAAAGTTTAGGAGTAATTACTCAGTTTCCACCATACATTTCACAACAAGCAAACAATGCAGGTTTTATCTTGCACTGAACAGCCAATTTCAAAACCAAACCATCCAAATTATGTCTTACACACTACACGGAGCAGCCTATCCCAAATATCAGCAAATTTCCCGCTTAAACCCATACATTCCTCATTCAATCTACCATGAAAAAAATACATTATAACATGAAATTCACACAAGCATACTACCCCATCCACTTCCAAATACATACTTCCTCCGTTCCAATAATAATGCAACAATAGGACTTTTGCACTATTCATCACTCTTTTTTGACCATATAATATGATTTATACGTTAGGCAAAATCTAGTTATGTGGGATCTTGTTAGATTCGTCTCTTAAAATATTTTCATAATATCAACTTTTTATAATTTTTACTCCTATAAAATTATAGATATCTAACATATAAAATATGTTTTGGGATGCGTAATTTCATCCTTGTTGCAATATTATTGGAACGGAAGAAGTACTAAGTAAAACTCACACTTTTTGACATTTTGCTTTGACAAAAATTGTGCAACACTACATTCATTTTAAAAATAATTCACACATTTGTCCATTCATTGATCTATTCACTAAACTACTTAGGTCACATATAAAACAGTGCTTTATATTTTGTCAATTAAAATAGATACAACTAACGATTTCTTTAAACTTAAGCATAACCTTTGACAACATCTATACCCGCTCCACCCTACCTTGATCAATTTGTGGACAACAACACGACGAATAAACTCGTAATTAAAGCAATTTAATTATTCAATTAATCTCCCAAATACCAAAACATTGGCAAAGAACGGTAATCATATAAATTGAAGAAAATAATACTGAAATTCACAGGGAAATGAAGCTTACAATGCCCTTATAAAAGGCAATTTGAGGAACTGAGTACTTAGACCCTAGCTTTGATTGTTCGTCTTCAGTGTTGTTGACGACGCCATAATAAACTGTACCATCATACTGATTTCTACACGCTCGTAACTCAAATTGAACAAAGGAAAGCTCTTTATTAATCTTCAATAAATAATCGTTAAACAATTTGTCATTAGAACCTGAAAAAAAAAATGGTTACAAATTACAATTACAGAGAGATTAGGGTTCACAATACTAATTTCACACCTCATTAATTTCAGATCAAAAAAATAAATATTAAAGGGGGAAAAAATGAAACCTGGGTTTCTTCCAGTTACTCCCTCGAAAATTTTGTTGAATTCTTCGGCCTTAAGAGGGCCGCGAGAGAGTAGAGATTGAATTAGAGTGTGGTGCTTCCAGCTTAATTCCGGCATTTTTCGCCCAATTTCTACTCTAATAGAACCCTAATTGATGACGAAGAGTGAAATAGGAGAGCAGAATTTTGCAAATTGGGGGAAATCAAATGTAAACGGAGGAACCCTAATTTTAGCGCTTCATTTTGGTGAGTATCTAAAAGGTTTCTTTTGGCGCCAAATTCCCCAAACAAGCAAAATCTTAGTTGCTTCTCTAGAACGCCGTGCAAGTGTAACAAATTGCAAAATTGATCGGACTTGAATTTTTTTGACCTATATCCGAATCACTTATAAAATTGATTGAACAAATTATGGTTCAATGTAGCCTACATGTCTACTAGTCCTCCTGGCCCGAATTAACGAGCTAGGCACTTTGAAAGTAGGGGAGAATGTAAGGGACTCTCTACCCCAAAGTGTCTTTAATGGAGTTTGATCCCACAACCTCTTGGTTGTAAGATGCAGACTTTACCACTAGATTAAGTTTTGCTTGACCTGTACTTTTAATAGCTTAGTTGACAAAAATAACTAAGAAGCATTGCGTATACCAGATACTTCTTACATTAAAGCTCTTTTTTATTTTTAATCATCGCAACACATTAAACCCATATTTAATCATCGTACATTAGGCCTTGAATATGACTAACCGAGCATTGGTTACACATGTAATGATACTAGATGAATTATATAATCTTATGGAGTTTTTTCTATTTTTATTTTAATTTTTATATTGAGGTGATGTGGATGTCAACTAGTTTTATTGATTAAAATCTTGAAGGTGGTACCCAAATTATGGAATCGAATCCCGTTTGTAACATTACATTTACGACTTTCTACGACAACAAATATATATATATATATATATATATATATATATATATATATATATTTATATTGTTTGATTATTTGGTTGTCCAATAACAAAATTAAATCTCAACTACTTCATAGTAATTGGAATAAATTATGATAAAAAAAAATTAAAAAAAAAAAGAAAAAAGAAAGTTGAATGGATTAGGATTAACACTTGTAGTTAAGTTATGCTACTTGTAACAAAATGGCCACACCCACCACAAGTAGTCCACAAATGTCTGTCAAAAAAAAAAAAAAAAAAAACTACACAAGACAAGCCATAGTCCGTAAAAAAAAAGTTGTCAAATACTCCATGAGTTTATAATTTTTTGCCTCAATTTCTTTTTTAATCCGTCCTTTTAATTTTGCTCTATTTTGAACACATGAGACTACACCTTTTCTCTCACAATAATCCCATTAACCCACCACTTTTCTCTATCATTTTTTTTTCCAACGAAAAAATAGCTGAAATTATTGTTGTTGAGCTGAAATTAATTTTGTTAAACTGAACTTTTTTTTTATTGAATTGAGATTATTTTTATTAAATTTAATTTATTTAAAGGTATGATGAACCGGGCTTACGTCTAGGAGTAAAAATTAAGGGACGGAAGGGGTAGTAACTAGGAAGTAATTTTGTATGGTTAATTTTGTTAAACTACTGTACATGTCTAGATTTTTGGGTTTATCTTGTAAAATTCAGTATTTAATTTTGTAGGGTATATTGCTAAAAAGGTTAATTCGTCTACTCGTAAATTTGCTTCGATTAGAAGCCAACAACCCAGAAATCAAAACCCAGGAAATGAAAGCTTAGTACACTCAATCAAAATTCAATGTCGATACAGTGAGCAACACTAAAAGAGAGAAAATCTGGGAATTGTTAAAGTTTGAAACTTGTAAAATTAGGGCAAGAAATTTTGTGGGGTGATCTTCAAAATGAAATTTGAAAGCATAGGACCTGAAGATTTGTCAACAATCGGAGGGATCGCAACAGTTTCCCTTCTTCATTCCTTCATTCCTACTCATTGGTTGCCCTTTTCCATCGTTGGTCGCGCCCAAAAATGGACTCTTTCTCGCACCCTTTTAGTCAGTAAGTTCTTTTTTTTCATCATATTCCAATTAATCTGTAATTTTTGGTAATTGGGTTTCTTTATTTCTTGCTAAATCAATCTTTAAAATGTGCTGGTAAATCTAGTGGGTTTGATCTAATTTTTGTATTAATTTGCTTAATTTATGTGGATCTATTACTTGTCATTTATGGTATTAAATATTGTCAACTTATGTATAATCTATGTATTGTTTGTATAATTCTTTGTAAATTGCTTGTTTTTAATCATGTGATTTAGTTCTTCTAGGATTTGGAATTATAAAGTTCGAAATAGGTGGTTAGCATTTACACATAATGAAGGGTATATTGAGTTCCAAGCTTAGATAAGTATAGGTGGTGGGAAGAAATATATAGAGACTTCCATTTTCTAGTGGATGATTTTCGGCATTAGATGAAATCAATGGTTGTTTCTTGAGGCTTCTTCGGTAGGTAAAGGTATCCTCGATAGTGTAGTGGACTAGTGGTTCATTGTTAAAATTTGTTATGGAGTGGGTATGGAGCCATGGACTATGGAAGAAGTTGTATTGAGGGGTTTTGATGGTCATTATTCCTAATGTGAGTGATCTAAAATGTTCAATAATTCTCAGAAATCCACATTGAAGTCCAACATTTGTGAGATAATAAATTTCTAATAAAGTGATTGATTAGATTTGGTTGTGGACTTTTTCTCCTTAGGCAAGATGATCGTCTTAATATTTGTTTTTTCAGCTCTATTTACCAGATGGAAAATGTTGTCAATTTTTATGATGGTGCATAGCAAAAGTTATTTATTTATTTATTTTTTAAATGATTCTGAAACGTGAAAGATTTTGGATTGAAGGTCCATAGTAATTCCTGAGCATTGGAACTGGCAAAAGAAGAGCTGTTCTAGTATAAAGAAGTTGACCCTCATGTCTCAAAGAAGAGAGACTGTGGATTGTTGGTACTTAAGGGAATTTTAAGTGTGAAAGAATTTGAAATTGTTAGTAGGTTTAAGTTGAGAATGGATGCTAGTGTTTATATGGGGTTCAAATATAGATTTGCAGATATAGTTTTGCTCTTTATCAATATTATTGTTTTTAGGGGGAATGGTGTATATTGTTCTATTCTGTTACTTTTTGGAGCAAGTGGTTTTCTTGAAATGATATTATTTTTAGGGTGAGAATAGTTATCCAGAGGCAATCCTTACAGTGATTGATAACTTGATAAGTGATGGTCCAACACAACTTTTACTAATCCATAGACTGAGAGATGTCACTGAGAAGGAAGAAGGGGAACTACGTATTCAAATTTGCTGAATCCTTTAGCTGCATGAGAGTCTGTATCTTTGGCATGACCTTATATGCTTATTCAGAGTGATGGAGCTTCAAAAAAGGCTGACTAATACTAGACTAACTAGAGTCTTTACTTGGTTATAATACGAGTAGGATGAGTTACTTTAGAGTTGGTTGATGATTTTTTTACCTACCATCACTCTTGTATGATATACCTAAAAGGAGGACATCTACATGTTTAATCATTATTTATAATTCATAAGGCAACCAGAATTTTTCCCTTCTTAATTTGTTTTCACCATTAAATAAGAAAAAATCTGCCCTGTCTTGCTTTTAGCTATAAATCTTTAGTGATATACCATCACTCTTGTATGATATACCTTTAAGAAGGACATCTACATGTTTAATCATTATTTATAAATCATAAGGCAATCAGAATTTTTCTCTTCTTAATTTGTCAAAGTATGTATGTTCTTTGTACATCAAATTCATCTATACACCAATATTTTCTTAATTTCTTTCTCCTTGAGTCATGAAACATTATGACTGCACAACTATGGTCAAGATGGAATCAGAAACCCACATCAAAAGGTCTATCTAGTACCATGACATGTCAGCCCAGGATTAAAAGACCCCATTTGCAAAGCTGCTAACTATTTTTAACACAACCATTTGATAGCTGAGACAATTACAAATATGTAAACCTAAAAAAAAAAAAAAAAAAAAGAAATTTGTTGGCCACAACTTTGCTACCTGCATAATTTCATATTTCCAATAATGGCTTACTGAGGTCCTCTAATCTCTTCTAGTCATCATTATTCCACATTAGCTGAGACCTTGCACTAGTTGCCTTAAAACTTATGATTGACAAAGCATTGCTATAGTCAACCTAATTCTCTGATTCTCCGTCAACCTTCTAGTATTCTAGTATACTCAACTCCATTGTGTTCTCTAGATTACTTGGTTACCCTGCTTTAGAGAGTGTTCCTAGTTTGGCTGGTATATTTGTTTGTCTGCAAGTAGATTACTGTTCTACTCTGCTTTTGAACCTGTAAATAAAACAATTTTATTATTCCTTTTTTATTGGTTTAGTGAAGAATGCTTATTAAATTTTAAAAAGATAGTACACCAAGGGGGTGCCACGGCTGCCACCCATGTACAGGAGAAGGGCTTAGCTAAATAAAGTCATGTCCTCTCAAAGGTGATCCTCAGTGCACCTTATTGGAGCGATGCACACCTGATGATAAGTGAAAAAAAATTATGTGGAAAAATGCTGTGCACCTCACTGAAAATGCCTCAGTGCTATGCCCGTATACAGACAATACAGTCTATACACCGTGTTTTCTAGCTATCGTGTGACAATCTATATACTTTGTAAGTCCGTATAAATCATGAAAGATCTACTGCCTCTTAAACTTTAAACTTGAACTCGAAAGTTTGATGCGATTGTAATGGACTGGAAATCTGACTTGTATACTGATTTAGAGGAAATTTAAGGGGGAAAGCTTGGAAATTCTATTAAACAGGTTAATGATTTCTTACAAAAGTTAGTAGGTTTAGCCTACAAAGCTCATATTAGTGACTTGAGGTCACAACTCTCCAAATAGTGACTTCAGGCCACAACTCTCTCAAGGATTCACGTCAAAATTCTGCCTACCTACTCCTTTCTCCTCTCTCTCTCTATTTATACTAAAGCTGAAGACTCTAAACTAATAATACTAGACTACCAATATTACCCTTCCTTAGGTTAGTCTATTACAGTGAGCTAGCTCTGCTTTGATGATGAACGACTCTTTGAGCATCCATAATCATGCTTGCATCTCTCTGCATGCCTGGGTGTCAATTTAGCTTGTCCATAGAGTCATAGACCCGTAAATCCTGTACATTCTGACGATTGCATCTTCTGAAATGCACAGCTGCAGATTACTTGTACTGTATATTGTGGATGCACCCTTTTTTGTGAATTTGTCTGATTTTTTCTATCATGCTATCAAGTATCATCTATATTAAGCTGGCTTTTTAAGTTTTCAGAAGACTTTGCATGCCTTTGATAACACTCA